ATATCCTTTTGATTCCTTATATCGGACCTTCTTTTCGGTAATTCTTCATCAACTCAGGATAGGGGATCCCTAAGCCTTTTGCCAAAGCTTTGACTTCAATTGTTTGCCCAATACCCACATAAGCCTTTTCTTTGGAGAAATTTAGGATTTTGTCAAATTCTTCCAGAGTCGGTGCTAGCTGAAAGTCTTGGAAAGTGAAACATCTTAATGAGGGTCATAAAACTGAATTAGGGAAGAGACTGCATCCATCTGTACTTCTACTTTAGTCAAATCAAGGGTATCCCCATAACGGCGAGTGTACATCTTCAGAGCTCTTCTAGACAGTTTGCCTTTTTATCGTTTTGATTTCAGAAAGGTCAGGCTTACAAGCATTGATGCGGACAAGTTGTTTCCCTTTGGTATCCATTTTTAAGACAGTCACCAAAAATCTTGATTTTGTTATCTTTTATTTTGTACCCTGTGAACAAGACAGATAAAAGGAACAAATGATGAACATGAGATATACATGAATGCAATGAATGTATGGGTGAGTAACGGGATTTTGTGATAAGTACCCTTAGAAGTTTGGTTCCTTAATTTTGACCTATGGTTAGTCTACCCTCCCAAAAGGTGGTTTCCTTAAGGGTATCATGAATAATACCAGAGGGACAAGGCACAAGGGCCTCCCTTAGGTAGAGCCTCTTTACGGACTGAAACTTTCGTCTCAAAGTCGCGAAAGGTATCGTCATGAGATTTGGTGTTAAGGTCGTTACAAAGAGTCATGGGTGACCTTCCAAAGTCCTACTCGTCAAGAGGATATCTCTTGATAAGTATTCCTTTTTCGGAAGTTCACCGACTCTAGGCGAAGTCATCACATAAACTCGCAGGGATGATGTACCCCCTAAGCTAATAGACGAACCTTCTTTCTAAGGGTTATTGAAAATATTCTTTTGAGATAAAAACCCGTCATGCAGTATATATGATGATAAATGAAATTGACAATAAATAAATACACAATAAATATAATTAATGAAAATAAATAAATAGAAAAAACACCTAAAGTAAAACCTAAAACCTAGGGTTAAGGAGACTCCCCAGCAGAGTCGCCAGCTGTAGCAATGGGTTTTTTAATCAAGAGTCGCCACTATTAGTTTTTATCCTAGGGAAGGGAACCTAACAGAAAACCCTAATTCGCTGACAGAGATTCTAGGCTACGGACTCAATTAGACGAAAGGAAGGTGTTAGGCACCTTTCATCCACCTTGTTCACAAGGATACTAAGCTCTAGGTTTAGGGTAGATAGGGTTTTAAGTTTTAATTAGCAAGACTCGCCACGATTTCAGATTGCATGCCTATGTATCCTCTTATAAGGAATCAGAGTCACAATTCGTAGTTCGTATGGGTTGGTGTTTTTTAGGGGTTTGCAAACATACTTTGAATCACTTTGCACTCGGTCGGAAGTAGTGATTGTGGAGATTTTGACTGAGTGCGCAGTAAGTCAAAATTAGTTTGAAACCCATTTGCAAAAAGGGGTTGTTAATTAACTTAATTTGTTCGTGAAAATAGTTTGATATTTGTTCGTGTTTTTTACTGTATTAATTGCAAAACGTCTTGATTAATGCATGATTAGAAAATAATTTAATGCAAATAATATATAAAGTGAAATATGCAGTTTTGGAAAGGTCCAGGGTAATCCTGTGATGCGAGGGCGCACGAAGTTATCATGCGGCTTGGCCTTATGGCTGTCTGATGTATATCTCGCGGATGACGTTTAAGGGAACGTGGTCGTTACCATAGGCGCGCTGCATACGATACAAACAGAATAACAAAAAAAAATTTCTTTCATCTTCATTCTTCAGTTATTAGATTTTACAGAAAATCCATTCTCTCTTTCCCTCACTAACACCAACTCTTCTTTCTCCTCTTTCTAACCCTAGTTTCCTAAGAACCCGGCGGCGGCCCCAAATTACCTTCACCCTTCTATTACAAACACCTACCCCAAAACCTAGAATACAGGAACAACCAACAAAAAAAAGAGAACTAAGTTCTTTACCCCTGTGTGATTTCCTCGTTCTGATTCTTGAGCGTGTTCGACTTCTAACCTTGCTTCGTTTGCTTCGTTTTGCAGGTTGTGATTGGTTGAAGATGGTGACGATGAAGGTGGTTCAAGCACACGATTAGGGTTTCCGATCTGGAAACTCTAGTCGCCTCCTCTGTTGGATCTTCAACAGCAAGGGTTTGTTTCAAGATCTCTCTGTCTCAGAATTTCTTCTCCAATCTTCGTCTCTCCAAAAAAATTCCCCCACTCCTCCTTTCTGTTTCCAGTATTTATAGTATGAGGAATTTTAGGGTTTTTTCTTATTTTGCTGTTACAGTTTGTTTTAGAATTAGGGATTATATATTTGCTGTAATTGATTCCTGATTCTGTATAATAGAGATTTAGATTTGATTGCCATAGATTGATTCGATGTATTATGAGATTTGATTTTAGTTTTCTCTTTAATTTTGGACTTTGTCTACAATATTTGTATTGATATAATGTTTCTGGGAATTTAATTGTAAGATGCGATTTTGTGTAATATGAACAATGATTTTCCGGATTGCAATGGATTTGATAAAGATTTGATTTCCAATGATTTCTACAGTGTCCGTTTAAGGCCAATACGCGCATAATTTACGGTTTCAATTGATATAGTAACTGTTAGTTTGAAATATGGGCCTTGTGTTACTTAAAAAAAAATTCTATCAACAACATTTTTCAATACAGCCAAAACGCCTTTAATACCATTAGGCTCAAATGACCTTTCCGTAGCCAAGCCTTTTAACAGAACAAACAAACAAAAATTCAATGTTTAACTTTATAAATTCCTAACAAAACAATCTTCTTCTTTTTTTACGATAAAAGTAATACTTTCTCTTAAGTATATATTTATTAAAATAACAATTTTTATAATAATATTACTTTTCTTTTCTAAACGGCAACACAACATCTAACATAATGGGCCTTATAAATTGTGTTTAACAAATCAAACCAAAAAACTCGTAAGAATATTTAATAACCAAGTTTTTTTTTTTTAAGATTTTTATTTTAGCAAATTTACTAAAATATCAACAAATATTTTCTTTTGTTATTTTTCTCTAAAATAGTAAAAGAACAAATGGGCTGATTCTTAAATGGGCTTTTAATTGATATTCCACACCCTCTTTCTGGTAACAACCATTAAATAAGAATTTAACAAATTTCTATTTTTTTGAATCGCATGGGCCATTGGTCAACATGCCTCATGAACGTTCACGGATACATGAGTCTTCCTGATTTAGAAAGTCCCATTTTCGCGAATTAAAATACACCCCCCTAGCCGGATAAAGACGGATTATCAGATATTGATATACCATCTTTAATTGAAAATTTCTTCAATTTTAATCTCGAAAAATGAAATTATCGAGGTAGGACAAATTTGGGGTATAATATTATGACTGCACAATTGCGGAGTAGTGTTCTTATGATATTCTTAGTGTGCAAAATTAGTACATATCAATGCAATCTTAATTGAAGAAGAGTTTGTAGCTTGAAATGAGTAACTGATGATGTTGTTGTGTTTCTTTTGATTTTATTTTGTTCGGAGTGCAAAAGTTCAAGTGTGGGGAAATTTGATCGGTGCATTTTGATGCACATTCTTCCATGTTTGTACTTAAGCATTTCTATGTTTTACTTTGTTTATTTTTATATTTTATAATGTTTTTCTAATTTAGTTTATTTTTTGTTTAATTTGATTTTCATATTTAATTTTCAACATTGACAGCTTTCATTGAAAAAGTCATAACTGGAGTTACAAGAATCTAACCGAGGCATTCTAATATGTGTTGGAAAGCTAAGAGAAAGAGCTACAACTTTCATATTGGAGCCAGAAGCTAATTCGGAGTGTAACAGGCTTGAATAATTCGTTGAAGTTGCAGCATTAGATATATTTTGTTTTGGGTCTTTTTAGTGGGTCTGGGTTATGTTTTTGACTCGGTTCGTTTTGTAAGTGGAAACCCTTATTTTATTTTATAAGACTTTCAGCCGTTAGAGAGGATTATACCTTCTTTTCACGATTAAAATATTTTGAAGCTTTTGTAAGAATTCATATGTAGAACTAACCAATCCAGACAATTTGTTGTATTCAAGTTCTAATACCTTGAGATTATAATAGTTCTAATTTAGTTTTATTCCTTTCAATATTAATCTACGTCTCTTGTTTGCTTAATTCGATTTGCATAGATTATATTGATTTAATTCGATTGATTGTGTGATCCTAACCGTAGTCATGTTATCGTTTGCTTAATTCGTTATCGTGTCCGTTTAATTCATGTTTGCTTAATTCATGAAACTTACTCCCATTTGCTTAATTTGGATAGGAACATACAACTCATACTATCAATTGCGTTTGTCAATAGGTATTATAATCGAGTAAGAATAGATAATCCGCTTAGGAGGTTAAAATTACAATAGTCGATAGTAGATAAGAACTGAATCAACAAACTGACTTTTTAGCTTAATGAATAATCACTTATTTTAATTTGTTCTTATATTTCGACCATAAAACCAAACCACCACCACCCCCCAATTCGATTCCTATTAGTTAATAATAATACAAAAATCCTCACAATATGATACTCGAGTTATCATTACCATAACTACATTTAAAATTTACTCATTTTTTTATATGTGCGCAACTGCTTCTCTTTTCAACATATTTTCTTTTTGAAGTTCTCATGATATTGATGTTAACACTAATCTGAACAAAATGGCTCAGTCTTATTTTGTTATTGGGCGGTGAACAGAATATTTAAACACTACATTTTTCATTGAATGACGAGGGACTCACAATGAGATAGAGCTCAGATTAGTAATTCATACATGTAGCAACTGTGTTACAAGTTACAACTTACAACAATTCCTTTGGAAGGAATTAAGAGGAATTAAGAAACAACTTTACAACTTGAGCATCAAGATTTGCTTCATTAACATGCGGCAAAGACTTAATCCTCTAAAATTTGTTGTCGCTCAAGCTCAAGAATCCGCTCAGTTAGAGGGCCAACAGTGCTATTTATAGTTCCATTGCTTCCTTTACACTGCTGCAGTTGTTCCTGAAGATGCCGCACAAGTTCATTAAGTCTTCGAATATTCTTCTCTTGCACTAAAATAATCTGCAGACAGCAACATCATTTAAACAGAACTTTTCAGTAAAATCGAGTTTAAAAAAGCATGATCACAACAAATGTTTCTGTTACAAAATATAGTTACAGAGCATACATGTAAAAACATCCTTTGCTTATAAAAAGAAACAAGTAAAAACATGTAACAGTTATACAAATACATAGCACTAAATTTCATCCAAACTAAAATATATATAGCACTAAGGGCATGTTTGGATAAACAGCTTATTTAGAGCTTATAGCACAAGTACTTATCAAAATAAGCACTTATGAAAAAGCTTGCATAAACTATTTTTCTAGCAAAAGATAGAAGAAATTTAAATTATTTTTATATGAGCTATATATTGTTTTCATAAGTTATCTTTGAGAATTTATAAAAATGAGCTCAAAAAAAGTTTATAATAATGCTATAAGCTGTTTTGATAAACTCTTCCAAACATTGTTACAAAACTTATGACATAAGATAAGCTCAAATAAGTCAAGTCAAACAGGCCCCAAGTTATAAACAATGACGATAAGCCATCATAAAATATGGCCCAATTTGGAATAGATTTTAACATATAAGAGCTTTTCAGCTAATACAAGTATTTGATTTCTAATTTAGGATAAAACTTTTTCAAGTGTTTACTTTATGGAGATTGTGTAGAACCTGTACTTAATGTAAGCAGAAAATTATTATTTAGAAAACTCAATAATCGTTGTCACTATTTCAATGAGTATTTGAAGAAAATTTTATCCCAACTGACTCTAATCTCATTTTTGGTGACACAGATTGTCTTTAGCACTCACCAAATATAGTTTATGGCTCAGGCTCCCAAATTTACAATAACGTTTTCACATAATGATTGACAAACTTTGAAACATACAACGAAATAGGTTGCAATTTTCCAACGAGTGTGATGTTCGATTGACCATTATATAGACTTTTTAAAATGAGACGCTCAAATCTAACAGAGTGGGACAAGGGGCAGAGTCGATGGGTTAGAAGAATTACTAGTATAGGATAAACAAAATGGCATGGCCAAAACTCACTCAAATGAAATATTTTAACTAGAAAAATAACTAGGATAAGATAAACAAAATAGCTACTGGGTATCCAATATGATGATAATATAACAATGCTTGAAAAATATATAAGTTGATAGGAACCAAGCCAAACAGAACGGAATATTGACTATAACTAGAGCTACTCTGGAAACAGAGTACTGAAATATAGTATTAATACTGAAAATGGACAATGGATTGGAGTTATACTCCTTACTGATATTTGAAGGAAACTCGCATATTTGTTGTGAGATTTCATTGTTTGCACACATATGTGTGTTTCCTTGCACAAATCAGCCAGATTTATCAAACCAGTGAATCTTTTGAAGAGAGAATTGTCAGATCCTCGGTAGTTAGGAGGATAGGAAATATTGAAAATGCCCACTAAAAATGGGCTGCGATTAACAAAATGGGACAAGGGGCAGAGAGTGGGTGGGTTAGAAGATTCTAAAATTAGGAAATGAGAGAATGAAGGAAGAAAGTAAGAGGGGGCAGGTGAAGAGAACATTTTAAATTCAGCCGACATGTGAAGGAAACACACATATTTGGGCTTTATTACTGAACAGAACTTGAGCTCTTTTCAAGGAATATAGCTCTGAAAACTTGTGAAGGAATGGAGTTTTCCGACATGTGAAGGAAACACAGATGTTTGGTATTCTCTTTTCAAGGAAAAGAGAATAGGAAACACAGATGTTCGGTATTCTCTTTTCAAGGAAAAGAGAATACCAAACATCCCTTCACCCCCCAAAAAACACAGAAAAGGGGTAGCTTTTAAGGTGAACACTTCGAGTCTTGGTCCACCAATAGTCTATTTAATATATCATACAATACATGTTTAGAAGGGATTAACTATAAGTTTTACATTCAGAGCCTTGTTATTTTTAGTAACTACAGTTGAAAACCTAGGACACTCACTTAGTGGGACAAGGCTTGATTGTTGTAGATGAAATCTAGGACACTCTAATCATTGAATCCGTTAATACAAAATATAATTACGAAGATGGGACTGCAAAAGAACATTATCCTTGAAAAAACAATAATGCATATAACTAAAGCTACAACAGAGAAATTGATCATTAATGCATAAACCAAAAACAAGTAAAAGGGTGAGAAAAACTTCAAAACCTTCTCCTTAACAGTTTCTTGAGCATTAGAAACATGACGCTGCTTTTGAGCTACACTGGGATTCAACTCAACTTCAGCCACAAGTGGTTGCTTCCACTCGAACTGTGAGGTGAATATAAGTATAATAATCAAGAAAACAAGCAACATGGGTCTCGACATGACTCCTAATTACAGTATCTACACCTGCAAAATCAATTAAAAATCAATTCACAATGAAATTAGGGTTATATAATTGAAGATACCAGAGAATTAACTAATCGAAGCGCGGTGTAAAGAATTTAGTATGGAATTTGAAAGAGAAGACTTACAGATGGGTATGAGCGAGAAAACCCTAAATTCATTATCGATCTGTGAGGAGTTTGAGTGAGTTCCCCCTCTTTCCTCTGAGTAAGAGGTTAGGGGGAAAGGAGAGAGCGGGTTTGGGAGGTCAGATACGAGAACGGTGAGTGAAGCGCCGCCGTCGCACACGGAGGTTTTTGAAGGGACGTGAAACGACGCCGATGAGTATAATCGGAACTTGCAAAGTAACAATGTTTCACTTTTTTGCAACTTGAAGGAAGATGAACTTGTGTATGCAATACAGTTGGGAACAGCACATGAGTTTATTATTACTATTATTATTACTATTATTATTATTATTATTATTTTTTTTTTTATTATTATTATTTAAATTATTATTATTTTTATTATTATTATTTATATTATTATTACTTAAATTATTATTATTATTATTATTTATATTATTATTATTATTATTATTTTATGATTTATATTATTATTATTATTTTATGATTTATATTATTATTATTTAAATTATTATTATTATTATTTATATTATTATTATTTATATTATTATTGTTATTATTATTATTTATATCATTATTTATATTATTATTATTTAAATAAAACAAATTGAATAATTCAATATTGATTAATCAAAAAACCAGTACAGCAAGGCGATCGCTATGATCCAACCCAAGAAGCGACAAAACTAACTAGTTCAACATCAAGTGCGCTATGTGAGGCTTTAGCCTCTTACAAAACCAGGCCTTGTAGACTATCTTATATATAACATTGTTAGCTACATTAATACTATCATCCTTCTTCACAAAACACAAATTGTTTCTATATAGCCAAATTCCATAGACAGTTTCCGCGATAGCTAGCTTGAATAACGAAGCACGCCACCCCTTCCCTTTGCACTTGGACACAATATTCTTCATTTCAGCATTCCAACTTGTTGGCATGTGCACCACCTGCATCCACTTTAACATTGAGCTCCATATTGCTTAAGTCTCTTTACACGCAAACAATAAATGATCAATAGTTTCTTTTTCCTTACAAAAGATGCAATTGTCTTCAACAATCATACCAAATTTTTTCAATCTATCTTTTGTGACTAGCCTCCTATGGCATGCTAGCCAAAGGGTGAACATGGCTCTCGGTCTAGCCGCGTTATTGAACATAAGAACCTTCCAATCTACATGTTGATCATCCTTTCTCATGCTCAGGTAAACTCTTTTCATTTGGAAATTTCTATTCTGAACCATCAAGTTCCACAGCCCCTGGAAACTGTTAACATACTCTCTGTGCTGTAAAATCTGAGTCATTATCTATGTACTGTTGGATTTGATCTCTACGTCCTTAACATCATGTTCCTTGATGTAGTAAGCGTGCACCCATTTAACCCACAAGTTGTCTGATTTATTACTGATATTCCAAAGTAGCTTAAGCAGTGCCACTTTGTTCCAAATTGAGAGATCAATAATACCCAAACCACCACAACTCTTGGGGCTGCAAACTTTTTGCCACAAAATTGGGCTTTTCCTGCTGATATCTCCTTTCCTGTCCATAAAAAAGATCTGCAAATTGACTTAATTTTCTTTATGAAAAATTTTGGGAACGGGAAGCACATCAGCCAGTAATTCGTCATGGTAAAGGAGATGTTATTTATCAATTACAGTCTCCTTGCATAACTCAACAGCGTAGAACTCCAGTGTTTCATCCTTCTAGTAATTTTTTCCACCAAGGTCATGTAGTGGTTAATAGAAAATCTCTTGCAAGTCATGGGTACTCCAAGATAGCGAAACGGCGGGGAACCCTCTTTAAAATCTGTCAGACTCAAAATTTTATCCTTAATTGTTGTCTCCACTGCACCAAAAAACATGTTGCACTTGTTAGGATTTATACTCATGCTCGTTGAGGATGTGAACACTTGAAATGCTTCGATCATAAGCTCCATTGATTTAACATCCCCTCTAGAAAACAGCAGGATGTCGTCTGCAAAAGCCAAATGGGTAATCTCCAACTTTTCACATTGCGTATAGTGGTTAAAGTCAGGATTTTTCTGCATTTTGTGTAAACACCTATGAAGATATTCCATCACTAAAACAAATAAAAATGGGGACATTGGGTCTCCCTGTCTAATTCCTCTCTTAGCTACTAGGCCTTTAGAGAGCTCACCATTAATATTAAACCTGTAGGATACTGAAGTGACAGTAGACATAATCCATTTAACAAACTTGTTAGGCATACCCACTTCTAGCAAGATACATTCTAACGCTCTCCAATCCACCATGTCATACGATTTTTGAAGATCAATCTTAGCCAAGCATCTGGGAGTACCCCCCCTTCCTAGTGTAGCCCTTAATTAGTTCATAAGTCAAAATAATGTGATGATGAATATTACGCCCTGGAATGAATGCAGCTTGGCTGGAACTAATGATGTTAGCCATGACAGTACTGAGCCTAGAAGCCAGAATTCTGGAGATGATCTTGTAAAAGGTTGAGCAGACAGAAATAGGCCTAAAATCCTTGATATGCTTTGATGTTTCAAGTTTGGGGATAAGGGAGACTATCGTACAATTAAAGGCTTTGAATAATCTGCCATGTTCAAAGAATTCCTGCACATCAGTTATCACATCACTCTTGATAATGTACCAATCGTATTTGAAGAACCATGCCCCATATCCATCCAGCCCTGGAGCCTTCAAATCATTAATGCCCTTTATAGCATTGCAGATTTCATCCTCACTAACAGGACTCACAAGATTATATTTTTGCTCCCTACTGATTTGAGGACCCTTCCGCATAACATCTATGTCAATATGCTTCAGGTTATTTACCTTCTTCCCCATGAGATTGTTGTAGTACTGCAAAACTTCCTCCTCAATCTCCTCAAAGGTGTTAGAGCATGTGCCATCCTCTCTACATAAGGCCATCAGATTATTAGCATTGTTCCTGACTTTAACTGTCGCATGGAAAAAGGAATTGTTTCCATCTTCCAACTTAAGCCACTCCGTCTTAGCTCTTTGTCTAAGGATGTTTTCATCAATCTCGTTCCACTTAATCACTTCAGCAGTGTATCTATGGATCACAATAATAAGTTCTTTATACATTCTATCTGTGGCCAACTTAGGCTGGGCTTTTTCCAGGGCATCCCTTGCTCTAGCCAGATGCTGCTTCGAGTGCACCAAGGATTTACTCAGATTCCTGATAATAGGCTGCAGCCTCTTTAGTTTACTCCACAGGACATACATAGGCCTACCCCTGCAAGGCTCATTCCAGTTGTTTGTTAAAGCCAAAGAATAACCTTGAGTAGATGTTACACAGTTAATAAATTTGAATTGGGTTCTTCTGATTTTATGATCATGATCAGTAACTAGTAGTAAGGCATGATCTGAAACACTAGGAGACAAGATTTTTAACACCGTGTTACCTTGGCTTTGGAACCGATCAACATTACCCAGCACCCTGTCTATCCTCGAGTAAATGGTACCCTCATTGTTCTTATTAGACCAAGTATAGTACTCCCCAATATTGTCCATCTCATACAGACCCTTATTGACCATCATATCTTGCAGATCTTTGTATTCAGTTTCTGTCACAATTACTCCACCAATCCTATCAAGGGCTTCATTCACATTATTAAAGTCTCCAATAAGCATCCAAGCTCCTTGCTGCTGAATATTAGCAATGTCCTTCCATAGATGTCTTCTCTGATCAATCTTATTAAGGGCATATATGGCTGCCAACCAGAACCTGGGCTTACCTTGTCTATCATAAATACCACAATGTATCATCTGACTCGTCCAGTTAAGGACTATGAGATCCAAAACAAGGGGATTCCATTGAATTCAGATTCTCCCATTTTCGTGGCAACTATAATTATCTGCATACTTCCCACCTAAGCCAAGTTTATTCCTAATAACCATAGTTTTGTCCCTTTTAACTCTAGTTTCAATCATAATGTTAATGTTTTCCTTAAGCCCTAGGAGACGGGAGTGAATCTCTATGAGCTTACCAGCTTTATTGAGCCCCCTGATATTCCAAGCAGCAATCATTGGCCCGAGTTTTACAGCTCTAGGAGGTCATTCAAAACCCCTAGGGCGTCAAACCTATTCTCACATAACAAATCTTCAGGCTGGCTATTCTTTACAATCCCCTTACCTTTGTCTCGAACACAACTGCTGATGGATGTCCAACCCTCCTTTGTTTGCTGGACTTCTTGCTCATTTGTTGGCCCCGAAGGTGATGCTTTCCTGGGACTAGTGACCAAACTTCTGTTTTCAGGGGGCTTAGGCTTGGGTTTCCACTGCTTCTCTTTAGGTTTAGACATATCACATTTATGTCCTGCTACCTGACATTTAGTACAGTACGCTGGCTTCCATTCATACTCAACCTTTTGCACCATCATCTTGCCCTCCTTATCCCTGGTAGTTATCTCTTTTGGCAATTCCTTAATAATATCAACTTCTACTAAAATTCCCGCATATGATATTCACAATTGATTCGCTGTGCATTCATCCGTTACCACCGGGTTCCCCAAGGCGCTACCAATTTTGTTGAGGCTTTTTCCACCCCACAAGTACAGGGGAAGTGATGACACACAAATATGTGATATTTCTGGTTTGATATACACCAAATATTTCTCATACTTTAGTTTGAATTAAATTATTTTATAAGTATTATGCAGGTATTTTTCTATTTTTGCAGATATGCACTGAGCCGAACACTTTTGAAGAAATGAAACTTAAAAGGGTGCAAAAAGTAGTAAAAGAGCCTAAGGAGAAGAAAACAGCCCAAAAGCCCATTACACATGTGAGCACGTGGCCCACAAGCAACCAAGCCCTGACGACCGTCAAGGGGACGTGACGAACGTCACGCTCCATGAAGACCAAGTGACGATAGTCACTTGCGTGTAACGAACGTCACAACCTATCACCCCACTTTCTCCTCATCCAACGGACAGAAACACGTTCAAGGATTAATCCAACGAGTTCCTACATTCTCTCACCCACTCAGTCAAGAGAGCAACGAACGTGACAATTAAATGGCCTATTATTTCTCAAGGAAGAAAAGTGAATTGTTCCTACATTTTTTAGAGCAACGAATTAAGCAAGCACTATAAATAGAGCCTGAGACCACAGTAGAAAGGGTTCTTCTTTTTGGCGAGAAAGTTTAGAGATTTTATTAAGCAGATATTATTTTCAGCAGAATATTATTTTCAGCATTATTTTCTTTTCCCAGTTATTTATTTCCAGCATTATTCTTTCAGCATTATTTTCTTCTATACAGTTAAATATATTCACCGATC